CATTGCTCATCCAGCCGCTGCTAAGTCTTTCTTTCATGCTTTATCAAGGGAACTAATGACAGTGTAATTTAAATGTGTTGCTTTCACAGTCGGTGCTATGTTTCGTAATTTTACGGCTGCCATCTTGCTCTTTTTCTTCGGCTTATCTTCAAATCTAATTGATTACGCGTCTGTTGTATTTATCCCAAGCACGTTTAGTCTTTCTACATGCTCGAAAGATTCAGTCCGGAATTTCGATGTAAGGTTTAAAACCTTCATTCCAATACTGCATTTAAAATAGAGGAAGTATAAGACAGGCTTATGCTACAACTGTGAGTGCATTAGCTTGCTGCTGATTCTGATGTTTGTTGACCTGCTTTCATCTCTCTTTATTCTGGGCAGAAATTCCGGATGCGCTGTCCGGTGCGGTGCTTCAGCTCAGCTATGAGTTATCTGTCGTTACGCTGGTAATTTGCATTCATTAGCCAGGAATGTATATGTAGAAGTTCCCATGGACGCTGGATTTCAGATGCTAAGATATCGCGAGTTACACTAGGACTTGATCAAATGACTTAAATGTTTACAAGAACTTTGTTTTAGCCGCACTTGCAGGAAGCCGATTCGCAAGAATTCGAAGAAGTGGAACTGGGCACAGATACGGAAGCGGATATGAATACTGAAGAAGATGTATGTTTGTTGGGTTAAGTGATTTTTATGCGTTTTGCATTGTGTAAAACTCACAAAACGCACGCTCCTGTCTATGTCTATTTGTGTGTGTATACATGTGTGTATGTATGTGTGTCCGAATGTGTTTTGCCTCCGCACTTTTAACTCATGAATCATAAAAGCTAGGGCGCTGAAATTTGAGGAGAATGTTCTCCGCCCATGTACGATCCCACAAATTTAAATTCAACATACGGCCGCGTGAAAGGAAGAATTAACCCAGAAACCACAGAAGCTAGAAAGCTGAAACTTTGGCAAGGTAATGTCCCCTGCCCAAGAATTTTAAACTCAACCACTGGGTACCACGCACGGCCTCATGACAGTTCTGATGAGAAAAATTACTATCTCGAGAACCTGAAGAGCCAGGAGATCAAGTTTAGCTGCCATTTATACCTAGCTGTCACATACGACCAAGTGAAAATTTTGACGCGAAAGTCACTAATTCTGAAGCCTGAAAATTAGGAAGTTGAAGTTTTGGAGAGGTGTTCCTCATCCATGTGCTAACC